AGAGTAAAGCAGGAACTTCTCAAAAGAAAAAAAATATTTCTTTAGAAATCAAAATTTTCATTGGCAAAACTATGTCATATTACGGTCTTTTTATTTTAAGACGTCAAAAACAATAATGTTTATTGAAAATGAGCCTTTGATGATAACAACAGCCAACATTTACTGAGCAACTGTAGTGTGTCAGGCACTGTGATAAGTACTCAACATCTTGTCTTACTGACTACAGACAACTCATGGGGCAGATACTGTTACTATCCCCGTTATCACATTGGGAAACTAAGGTTAAAAGTGGTTGGAGGCATAGGTGGATGTGCCGTGCCTTCTCACACAACCAAGTTTAGAGACAACTAAATATTAGCAACAGAAAACACAGCCAGAACACAGAAAATCGAACTATTTGGAAGTCTGTTAACAACAAATTCTTCAGCCTGACCGGTAAGAGGGGCGGAACCAGCAGCTGGTGGAGCGGGCTTGCAAGGGAAAACTTGGTCTGACGGACTCAGGTGCGCGGAATCCAGGTGCGGGATTGGACCTAGTGAGCGACCGAGCGACCGACCAAGCAAGTAACCGCGGGGGAAACAGCGAGAGAGCAGGGCTGCGGGTTGACTGTGGTCGCACATTTGTGTGTGGATAGACAAGCGAGGGAGTGGGCGATTGAACCGGAATCCAGCGGGTCCCCGTGGCAAGCGGCAGGGAGGGCGCCGCCATTTCCCTGCTCTGACCCCACCTCCACATACAGCGTCATAACCCAGCAACTCTGAGTGGCCCGGCCAGGTGAACCACCTAAGGCTCTGCTCCTACCCAGCAGTGCAAAACAGCAGAGGGTGCCGCCATTTCCCCGCTCTGACCACGCCCCCACATACAGCGTCACAACCCAGCGACCTGGGAGTCCAAGGCTCGTTCCTCACACTTAAAGGGCACGAACAGACCAAAAATGGCTCAAGAAGAGCTCAAAGCCCCGGAACCTATAAATCTAAGCGATGAAGAAATAGCAAAACTCTCAGACGCACAGTTTAAAACACTGGTGATCAGGATCCTCACAGAACTGGTTGATTATAGCCGCAAATTAGACAAATATATGAAGGCGAAACTAATTGCAATGAATGGAATTGCACAGGACACCAATAGCAATGAAAAGGAAACTGGGACTCAAATCAATGGAGTGGACCAGAAGAAAGCAAATAATGGCCAAACAGAAAAGAGTCAAGAAGCAAGAATTCAAAGAAATGAGGAGAGTCTTAGGAACCTCCAGGACATCTTTAAACGCTCCAACATCCGAATTATAGGGGTACCAGAAGGGGGAAAGGCACAGCCACCAGTGGAAAACTTATTTGAACAAATAATAAAGGAGAATTTCCCCAATCTGGCAAAGGAAATAGACTTCCAGGAAATCCAGGAAGCTCAGAGAGTACCAAGGAAGCTGGACCCAAAAAGGAACACACCAAGGCACATCATCATTACATTAGCCAAGATTCAAATGAAGGAAAGAATCCTAGAAGCAGCAAGAGCTAAGGGGACAGTCACCTACAAAGGAGTCCCTATCAGACTGTCAGCGGATTTCTCAAAAGACACCTTACAGGCAAGAAGGGGCTGGAAAGAACTATTCCAAGTCATGAAATCCAAAGACCTACAACCAAGATTGCTCTATCCAGCAAAGTTTTCATTTAGAATGGAAGGACAGATAAAGTGCTTCTCAGATAAGATCAAATTCAAGGAGTTCATCATCACCAAGCCCTTATTATATGAAATGTTAAAGGGGGTTATCTAAGAAAAAGAAGTTAAAGAAACATGAACAGTGAAAGGACAATAAACTCACAGTTATTAATAACCACACCTAAAACAAAAGCAAACTAAGAGGACAGCTAGATCAGAAGTGGAAACATAGAAATGAAGATCTCAAGGAGGGTTAGCAACAGGGGAGTGGGAGGAGGAGAAGGGGGGAGAAGGTACAGAAAATAAGTAGCATAGACAGTAGATAGAAAATAGATGGGGGGGCAAGAATAGCATGGGAAATATAGAATCTAAAGGACTTGAGACACATGGTCATAAACTAAAGGGGGGTAATGGTGGGGATGGAGGGTAGGATGGGGAATGAAGGGGGGGAATAGAACAACTGTAACAGCATAATCAATAAAAAAATTAAAAAAAAAAAAAGTGGTTAAGTAACTTGCCCACGATCACAGAGCCAGTGCACAATGGAGCCAGAGCTTGAACCCAGGTACGTGAGACAGCAGTTTAGTCGTCACATTACACTGCCTCCAGATGCAGTGGAACTCACTCATCCTCCAAACAAGCAAAGGCTGAAGGAGGGTGACATAAGTCCCTTTTGGACCTGCAATCTAATTAAAAGAGAAAAATCAAAAAAATGAGTATCTGTAGAAGTGCCAAGAAAAGGCAGAATAAAAGAGAAAGTGGTAGTTTAACAGGAAGGGAATCCCTGTGGAAAGGAGTGTCGCTGGCCCCTCAATCCCTGCACACTCACTGACCTGGGAATAATGGGAACACAAATAGACCTAAACCTTCACGATGCGCATCACTTAGTGCTGGGAAGGACAAAAGACGTTAAGCACATTACACAACCAGAAAAAAAGTAGAATATAATAAAGAGCTTAATCCTAACAAAGACTTTAAAGGCATATAATCACCTAAGATTATAAAAAAAAAAAAAAAAAAGTCCGAGAAGAAAGACATCACTGGAAACTGATCTAAGAATCGGTGAAAAACTTTACCTCGACCAGGGACTCCACAGTGTGAGCAGGGTGATTCTCAAGACGCGACAAGGCTGGAATTGTGATATTCACACCAAAAGCCTCAGGCAAACATCCTCTATATGGACTTTCATAAACAAAACATGTGTCCCTCATTTATTTGCACAACAAATAAGTTTGAGCTAAGTATTTGGAGAAGAAACTAAGGCACAGAAACCAAATAACTTGCCTCCAAGGTAAAGCTTTAAAATGTCATCCAACAGGGAACTCCATTCCTAAAGGAGCTGCGGCCGGTGGCAACAGGACATGGTCTTCCTTAGAGAGGTCCACGTGGCTGCAGACCTGGGGTGGACGCCACTGGGGGGTCAGGAGTAACACTCTCTCCCACCGAGTCCTTGTGGTAGGAAGCTGAGACACAGCCCAGCCAGTCTGAGAGACAGTTTTTCCCACGCGCGGGTAACACAGAGACACGGTCCTCGTCCCTGCGTGCTCCAACTGCACAGGTGAGCTACACCTCTCCTGCGAGAACTGAGATTGAAGCCTAGCAGCAAGCTCTGCACACCACATGCTTCTTGAGCACAGGTACACCACTCACTTCTTAAACACACCAGATACTCAAAATGCCAATATTCAAACCGCGTTTCTGCCAAACCCTGACTGACCTCCCGGGAACCCTGGGTGATTTCAGAGTATTAGTCCAGTTTTGGCTGGTGCCAACTCATAGTAAGGTAGGCCACGCCTCTCCCACATGCTTCAGAGCCACCTCAACACTGCTCTGAAAAGGATTCACATCTAGAGTCACCAACTCGGGTGTTAAGGTGGCCTGTCTGAAGTCATCTGCATGTCCACAGGCACTAGGAACCGAAATTAAGTTTTCTTAGTCTAGGCCTCCAGGCATTTCAAACAGGAAGGCGCTGCTCAGTGCAATCCCAGTCGTTACAAAGACCGTTGTCCTATCGTGGGTTACGAGCAAAGCAGTGTCTGGAAATCCCTGTCACTTCCTCCATCTTCAAGTTCGAGTTGGAGAGGTGTCCCAGGACGATCAAAGCACCTTTCACGCCACCCAACGCTTTCCCTCCTTTGCTCTCTTTCATGGAAGGGCACGCCTTACCCTACATCAGCCCAGCTCTACCCAAGCTCTGCAGTGGTTGGGAAATAATCCCAAGAAAAAGAGGGCACAGTGACCACACAGCTGCCTGAGAGAAGAGCGGCCAGGGGACCGCAGAGGAGGGAAAACACGCTGGCCCGCCCAAGCTCCCTACGGCCCATGAAGACTCCAAAGAGCATCTCAACACATGGGCGGAGGGCGTGGTGTTGGAGATGGCCAATGTGTGTCGCCTTCACCGAGAGCCTATCGCAGACTCCTTCTGGGGATTAAGGATCCGGCGGCAGACAAAACGAGAAAGCGGGGAGACACTGCTGGCCGAAGAACAGCAAGTGACAAGGATGTTGAACTTGAGAAGGAGGATGGTGGGGAGGGATGAGAGGCACTTGAAGCTGCAACGCGGAGGTTCAGGCTCCGGGTTGGGCAGAGCTGGCTTTGAACCCTCGCTTTCACCGGTTGGCTAGTCCTGAGCCGGGTTTGTGAGTCATCTGCCAAACAGCAAGTGCCTCCGGGGTCACGACAATTCCGACGCGATGCACAGAAAGCGCTTCCCCAGCGGCCGGCGCCAGGAAGCGCCCTGCCAGTAAGACCGTCTCTTTCTTTTCAACGTCCAGGTGCCTGGTCCCCGGAGACCGGGGCAGTGCCGGGGACCTCCGGGAGCGTCCGGGCTTGCCGGCCGACGGGGTCGTCGCCTGAGAACGTGACCAGGTGGATGAATGAAAGGCTGCGAGGAGGAAGAGGACACAAACTGCGGAGAGGTGGCGCGTCGCCACACCAAACACCTCGTAACGAGGACACCTGGGCAACCGCCGGGGTCGAGGGTGCGGGAGCTCCCCTGGGCCACCGCGAAGCGCCCCGCTGCGCCTCGAAGGAGCGTCACGCCGGACGAGGAAGCGCGGTCCGGGGGGGAGGCAGGGGACTGAAGGAAGCGCCCACGGGGACAGGGAAGGAAGGAAAAGAGCCTGGGTGAGGACACCGAAGGCCGGCGCTGACGGAAAGGCTGAGGCACCGGCCCCCTTCTTGGAGAAGTCGCCTCGGATCCCCGCGTGCGAGGACCGTTCGGACATAACCGCCTCCGGTCTCGGCGCCCGTTGACCTCACCTGGGTTCACCCCGCCATTGCCGCCACATCTCACCACCACCTCCCGCCCCGTTTCCACTCGGCTTCCACCCAACGCCTCACAGCCACCCCGGCTGACTCGGCCCGCTCCGCACCTCACACACGGCTCGCCGGCGGCAGCCGCCATCTTCGCGCGCGCGCGCGCGCCCCAGCCCCACCCCCAAACGCGGTGCCCACGTGACAGCTCGCCTCTAAACGGGCGCGTGGACTGTACTTTTCGTCACGTGACGGTGGGGCGGGGCCAAGATGGCGACCCCCAGAGAGGTTTGGATCCAGTGTCTAGGGCGATCGAGGGTGTGATGAAGGCGGAAGGGCGGCGACTTCTGTGCCTTAGGTGGGTGGTGGAGGCTGACCGCGCACCAGCTATCAAGAGTCAGACAGTGCCCTGCAGTGGAGCTTGCGGCCTCTCCGCTGAAGAACGGAGAGAGAAGGTGCTGGCTGGGTGAAGCTGCGGCTCTCTGCCTGGCGGGGGCTTGAGTGGCCCAGAGTCCAAGGCGTCCCTAGTCACCCCGGTGTGCACGGGGTCCCAGATCTAGAGACATGACCCGAGAGCGCGCTTCCCCGGCCCCGGGGACCGGAGCTCCGCTGAGCGGGTCGGTGCTGGCAGAGGCAGCAGTGGTGTTTGCAGTTGTCCTGAGCATTCACGCATCCGTGTTGGACCGATACTCGTGGTGCGCCGTGGCCCTCGCAGTGCAGGCTTTCTATGTTCAATACAAGTGGGACCGGCTGCTGCAGCAGGGAAGCGCGGTCTTCCAGTTCCGGCTGTCCGCCAACAGTGGCCTCCTGCCCGCCTCGATGGTCATGCCTTTGCTCGGACTGGTCATGAAGGAGCGCTGCCAAGCTGCTGGAAACCCGTACTTCGAGCGCTTTGGAATTGTGGTGGCAGCTACTGGCATGGCAGTGGCCCTCTTCTCATCAGTGTTGGCACTGGGCATCACGCGCCCAGTGCCCACCAACACTTGTGTCATCTCAGGCTTAGCTGGCTGTGTCATCATTTATATCATGAAGCACTCCCTGAGTGTGGGGGAGGTCATCGAGGTCCTGGAGGTCCTGCTGATCTTCGTCTACCTCAACATGATCCTGCTGTACCTGCTGCCCCGTTGCTTCACTCCTGGGGAGGCACTGCTGGTGTTGGGTGGCATCAGCTTCATGCTTAACCAGCTCATCAAGCGCTCTCTTACTGTGGTGGAAAGCCAGGGGGACCCAGTGGACTTCCTCCTGCTGGTGGTAGTGATAGTGATGGTACTCATGGGCATCTTCTTCAGCACCCTCTTTGTCTTCATGGACTCAGGTACCTGGGCCTCCTCCATCTTCTTCCACCTTATGACCTGTGTGCTGGGCCTTGGCGTGGTTTTGCCCTGGCTGCACCGGCTCATCCGCAGGAATCCCCTGCTCTGGCTTCTTCAATTCCTCTTCCAGACAGAAACCCGCATCTACCTCCTAGCCTACTGGTCTCTGCTGGCCACCTTTGCCTGCATCGTGGTGCTGTACCAGAATGCCAGACGGTCATCTTCGGAATCCAAGAAGCACCAGGCCCCCACCATTGCCCGGAAGTATTTCCACTTCATTGTGGTAGCCACCTACGTCCCAGGTATCATCTTTGACCGACCACTGCTCTACGTGGCCGCCACTGTATGTCTGGCTGTCTTCATCTTCCTAGAGTATGTGCGCTATTTCCGCATCAAACCCCTGGGCCACACTCTGCGAAGCCTCCTGTCTCTCTTCCTGGATGAACGGGACAGCGGACCGCTCATCCTGACACACATCTACCTGCTCCTGGGCATGTCTCTTCCCATTTGGTTAATACCCAGGCCCTGTACACAGAAGGGCAGTCTGGGGGGAGCAAGGGCCCTAGTCCCCTATGCTGGAGTCTTGTCCGTGGGTGTGGGTGACACTGTGGCGTCCATCTTCGGAAGCACCATGGGGGAGATCCGCTGGCCTGGAACCAAAAAGACTTTCGAGGGGACCATGACATCTATATTTGCCCAGATCATTTCTGTAGCTCTGATCTTAATCTTTGACAGTGAAGTGGACCTAAACCACAGTTATGCTTGGATTTTGGGGTCCATCAGTGTGGTGTCCCTCCTGGAAGCATACACTACACAGATAGACAACCTCCTTTTGCCTCTCTACCTCCTGATATTGCTAATGGCCTAGCTGTTGTGCAGCAGGAATGGAGGAAACAGGGACATGTGGAGGATGGATGTCCCCACAGCAGCCAGCTCCCTGGGCATGAAGAGCCAAGGGGTGAGAAGCAGATTTGATTTTGCAGTTGATTCATAATCAGAATAAAAACTAAAGCTCTCCTGGTCTTCATTTTGCTGATATTAAAAAGGAAAAAAGCTTAAAGGGTAGTGCATCAACTCAAAGGACTTCAGTGTGCTGTAGGGCCCCACCCCCACCCCCACCCCATGCACACACTTTGCAATCCTCAGAGGAGCTGGAGCAGACGCTGGAGGCCATATTGCATAATGGTTAACACTCCAGGTTCTGGAGTGTCAAACTAAACTGGCTGTACCACTTCTTAACTGTGTGAGTGGCTTAACCACTCTGGGCCTCAATTCTCCTGTCTGCAAGATGGGAATAAAAAGAGCCCATACCTCACAGGGTGCTGTGAGGGTCTGGTGAGGTGAGGTGTGTACAGCCTCCAGCCCAGGGCCCAGACACCATGACCCGCCAGTAAGGGAAAGTGTCATTATTGCCCAAGGCCACTCCTCCTATGAGCAAGCCAACTGTTGTACTTTTATGGGTTGCACTTGGAGACCAGAGTGACCTTGGCTTTATTTGGAGGCAAACCCAAGAGGAAAATAGCCAGATGCCATTCTCCCAGTTGGATTAGGAAGTGCCAAAGGGTAGCCGTGGGATTGATTTATTTCGTGGGAGAACAGGCTGGGGAAGAGGAGCAGATTGCTCCCCACTTCTCACCCAGCCTGGCAGGGAGGGGCCTAGCAGGAAGAGGTGAGAACCTTTGGCCACTAAGATCAGAAGCCAGTACTGGAACTCCGGGGAGCTCGTGGAACCACTGCCACACCCTTCCCTCAGAGGAAAGGACTGAGACATTCCTTTGATGATCCCAGGAGAGATGACAAACCCTTCCCTTCTCCCAGACTCCGTCCTGCTGGCCGAAGGAGGTGGCAAAAGAGGAGCAGAGCAGCAAGTCCAGGAGAGGCCACAGCCGCTTTGCCTCAACTTGCTGTGGCCTTAGAAACGGCTCTGTCCTCTGGGCCTTGGCTTGTCTGTGCATATAGTAGGGACTGGAGGTCAGGGTCACAAACTCTTGGCCACTGAGGCCAGAGAGATGACGCAGTGGAGGAGAACAGGAGCAGTGGGACTCAGAGCACACGTGCCTCGGGAGGCAGCCGCAGCCGGCCGTCAGAGGGCCAGACCACAGGCCCGTGCTGTTGGCCTGTTCTTTCCCGGAAGCTGAGAAATCTGACAGGTGACTCTCCCGATTGTAAAAAGTCTTTATACCCCTGGCTGGTGTAGCTCAGTGGAATGAGCACTTGACCTGCGAACTGAATGGTCACCAGTTCAGTTCCCAGTCAGAGTACACGCCTGGGTTGTAGGCCAGGTCCCCAGTAGGGAGTATGCAAGAGGCAACTGGTTGGTCAATGCTTCTCTCCCTCCCTTCCCCTCTCTCTAAAAATAAATAAAATCTCTAAAAAGTTTTTATAAAAGCACCAAGGCCCAGACAGAACACATCTGTGGTCTAGAATCAGCAAGTAGCCTCTGATTGCAACCTCTGGGCCAGACCCAGGCTAAATAGGCCATGGATTTGGTAGTTGTTCCTTTTTTCCCTTTCACTGATTTCTTGCAGTGACACTGGGTAACAAAATGACACAGGTTTCAGGTGCTCAATGCCACAACACATCATCTGTATGCACTGTGCTCACCCCCCACCCAAGGATGTGGTAGTTCTTGCAAAACACCTGGGTGCCTACCAAGCATGCCCAGGCAGGAGGGGACCATGGAGGCCCTTGTCAGGCCCAGAGGAGGAAGGGCCTGGACTGAGACCTGGAAACTGTTTGGTCACAGAGCCAGGACCAGAACCGGTGACTGGATTCCCAGCCCCGGTCCCGTCCCCAAGGTCAGAAGCACAGGCTCTGCACCAGGCTGAGCTTGCCAAACAACTGAACAGCTATGTGACCAGGTTACTTGTAAATGTGGATGGTAAGAGCACCTACTGCAGACAGAGGTCCACTGGTGTGAGGACTCCGTGAGACACACACGCCAAGCTCCTGACACAGTGAGCAAGTGCCCGCTAGCTGTGACTTGCCGTTAGGGCCTCACCAGGCAGGGGTGGGGTACCTGGATGATTTCCGGCAGGGCCCTCGAGAACAGAGGGCGTGGGTCAGAAGGACCAAGAAGCTGCATTTGGAAGTCATCTTTATTCAATGTCTTGCGCTGTAGTAGAGTTCTGTCTGGGAGGAGACAAGAGTAAGAAACTGCGAGAGAAGTAGCCAGGACTCTGCTGTAGCCGAGAGGCTGCCTCTAAGAGCAGCAATTTTCCACCCGTCTGTTGCAGCACCATGGTGTGCCGCGAGGATTTTTAAAACAAGCAATACGTGACTATTTGGTTGGGGGCACTGACCTCTTTTCCCTCAGACTGTCAAATTTTTTAAAATGACAACAGCCAATACAATAGCAGTCCAGTATGATGAATCAAAATTATAGCTATTTTCTTGTCAGATCTTCAAAAAAAATTTTTTTTGACGTGCCTCTGGATTTTCGTAACTAGTCTGTTTGTGCCATGAAATGAAAAAAGTTGGAAATCACTGCTCCGGAGGGAGGTTGTATTTGGGGTGGAAGAGACACATTTTGGGAAAGGCACTCAGCCGGGCCCCTGCTGCCTGGTTGCCAACTCTTGCCTGCCTGTCTGTAGGGCAAAGGGGCACAGACACTGGCAGAAGGAGAGCCCGGAAGGAGAGATGTGACTTCCCCATTGCCGCTGGGCAGTCAGGCGAGGCGCTGGTGTGCGCAGACCGAGGCGTGGTGTGCGCAGACCGGCCGCAGCAGGGTCCAGGGATTCCCAAAGGTGGGGAAGGAGTTGGCGATGGGTAACAGATGACAATGCGCCTCAAAGGACAGTGAAGCTCTGTTCCATTTATTGCAAGTACAAGCAGATTTTTGTATTTTCATTTTAGGTAGTGATTAACATTTGCAGTACAGCATGATCAGTTAAGCAGAAAAAATCAATACAAAGGTTACCAGGAAAAGTACAAGAATTTACATAGTTTCAGTTATATTAAACAAAAGTTGTTTTGACCAGGAGAGCCATAAATCAGACAATTGGAAATAGCTGTATGTACAGAATCTGAATGTCTTATTGTATATTAAAGTTTCTCAGAATTTGTCATGGGGCAAAAGGATACGCTAGATTGAGTAGAGGCAATAGGAGATTTATTATAAGGCCTTTGTGATGTCTTACTTAGCTATCTATTCTTTTCTGTCTAAAATGTTTCTCTGTGTACTATAAACTCTGACTCTTCAGTAACTGTTTCTACGTGTTTAGTTTATAATAACCAGCCAGCTTTTGTTATTTCTTTGCCTGTCTAATTGATATATATTCTTATTCAAGGTAAAGGAGGGGCTGTTACTCCAACAACTTTTAGACATTGAGGGACTGTTTCATTAGAGGGGATTTTGTTCTCTGGTCAAGAAATTATTTTGTACAACTTCATTGGAATTATGCTAGTCAATGAACCTGAAATACAGGTGTCTAACAATCCCACCACCTTCTGGTCACCCAAACAAACGTGTAAGGGGAGACAGACAGGAAATCCAGCCACAGGTGCCTCTGCCTTGCAGATCATCTCAACCGTCCCGACCGTATCCCTGGGCTGTGGGTCTATACAGTTTTTACTTGTCTTCTTGGAAGACCCTTTGTATCTGTGGGTGAGGAACAGTCGTGGGAAAGTCTTTCTGATCTGTTCTTCCCTCAACTGTTGGCAGCACAACCTGTGTTTGCAACAATAACCTGGTTCTTTATTAACTGGCCTTAACTGTTGATTTAAGAGCTTGTTTTTCTTATTTCTGGTACACCATGGCGGTCCTGATCGCTTTAAGTTGCTCAAACCAGGGTAATTTATACAACTTGACATGTTTTCCCTTACGGTTACAATTATATTGCCCTGGCTGTCGTACCCCCCTGTATAAGGGAGAGGGGAATCTGTGGAGATTTTTCCATCCTTTCAGGCAGTTCCGTGGGGGATACTAATGTTTTCCCCTGAACTGTCCCTTCCTCTTGGGTGATTTTCACAGGAATAAGTAAATACAATACAATGCCCATACTCAGTAACAAGAGTAAAATAATTAAAATAAAACAGCCAATTGTTAACCCATTTTAGGTCCCACGTTCTCCTCCAGGTAAACGAGTTCCTTGAACTCGAGTCCTCCATGCCCGAACCTTGTCAGACAACAGGGTTGGCAGAGGACGTGGCACCGGCGTGTGCGGCCCACAGCTACCTGGGAGGGAACAGCGCCTGGCCCTTCGGGAGCCCTCAGGTGTACAGTGCGGGAAAGGGCAGCTCAGCTGTTGGCTGGAGCCTGCGGAGGACAGAGAGGATGACCTTGAGGTATCAGTATCACTGCTCTCCCCAGCCTCAGGGCCTCTTCGGGAGACTGGGACACACCCTGCCTGCCACCTACCAGTTCTCCGGGCTCCACGTGGTGCCAGAGGTCTCCACGAGGTGGAACGTATAGACGTGGCGTGAGCGGTCGGAGAGGTTTTGCGCGCTCTTGTGCACCACTTCTCCGTGGATCAGGACAAGGGCCCCTGGCAGGGATACAGCAGGTCAGGAAGGGACACGGGACCCTCCAAGGCTGAAGCACTCCTGTGGTCTACTCATCCCCATTCCCACCCCTGAAAGCCCGGGGTTCTGCGGCCTGGCCCAGGCCATGAGGCTGTGCTGTGGGGCACGGGTTCCCCAGGGTCTGGTACTTCCTGCTGTGCCCTTGGCAAGCCTCAGCAAGGGCGTCACCTTCTGTGGAGTTTACAGAACCAGGCAGAAGCTGTGCCAGGCGGCTGGGACCTTGCCATTAAATGCTAACTTGGGCCTCAGTTTTCCCTTTTCCGAAAGGACGAGGGGCACTGAAAGTTGGCGTGTGCCTCCCAGCTTCTATGGAAACATCTTAGATACGACATCTGACTGACTTACCCGCTTTCCATTTGGGGAAACTGAGGCTCAGAGAGAGTCAGTCATTTGCCCAAAGAGCCCGGAAGCAGCCGAGTCTGGAGTCTAGCCTCGTTGGGATACCTTGCCCTCGGTTCCACTGCTGCCTAACTTCCCCACGTCCATCGCCTGTCTCTCATCCTATGACCCACAGCCCCCAGGTGAGCGGGGTGGTGGCGGCAAGAAGAGACCCGTGGGCGTGGCCACAGGGCCCTGCCTTCCTGCCCTCTGCGCCCCACCTACCTCTCTGCACTGGGGTGGGCACGAAGAGGCTGTCGTCCCAGGCCGGATCTGACCCCAGGAAGCTGATGCCAGGTACCGAGCCAGGAGGGGCCAGGACCATCCTTCTCGATATTCCACCTGCAGGCCAAGATGGAGCATTTAGCCTCTTTTTTTTTTTCCTGGGTCCCTCTCCCATGGCGGGTGGGGTAGACGTGGACAGGGAGAAACACGTGTGTCCTCACTGGTGTGGGAGCCAGGGATGAACCAGAGGCAGCTGTTCTCCAGCGTGGCATCCTCCAGTGCGATCCACACGCCCAGCAACCGGCCCAGGGGCTCCGTGTACAGGAAGGTGGCATCCTGGTGAGGAGTGACTGCCGCAGGCACACCTGGGCGTGAGGAACCCGGGCCCCGTCCCTCCGGGGCCCTATTTCCCACGCCCTCAAGGCCCAGACCTCCTGTGATCAGTTAGGATCCACCAGTTCCTGGCCCAGAGTCTCAGAACCAGAGAGTTCACTTCTCAGAGCTTCAGTTTCCTAAACGGTAAAGCGGCCCCAACAAGTCATCGACCTCACGAGGTTGCTGGAGGATTCCATGAGGCGTGAAAAGTGCCAGGAAAGGACCGACATTGTAATTACTTGCTAAAAAGCAGCTGCTATTGTTTCATTCCAGCCAGGTAACAAGGCCACCGTCCTTACTCAGGGACAAGCACCTCCAGTCACCAGGTGTTTCACCCAGTGGTGTAAGACTGGGGGTTGAGTGCAGAGCGGGGGGCAATGATGACCAAGGGATCTTTGCAACAACCAAGGAAGGGGGGTGCTGCCGTCACCTTCCTTCCTGGGGCACTGTGTGTTTTCTCGGCACCAGACTTTAACAGGGACACTGCCGATCCAGATAGCATCCAGAGGAAGGTGTCCTAATGGTGGGCATTTCTAAAGGTTTGGAGGAGGAATGGCTGAAGGAAGCGGGGTGCCGGACTTGGGAAGGGGACGGCCATCCCTTCAGGGACTGTCCTGTGGCCAAATGGAGGGAGGAGGAGGAGGTCACAAGGAAGCCAGCTTGGGCTCATGTAAGGAAGGAAAAAGCTGCCTGTGAGGGGTAAGCTCCCGCCACTGGAGGTATCTGAGCAGAAGTGGGGTTGCCCATGAGGAAGGCCATAAAGGGTATCGGTGTACCCAGTGGGGTCTGGAACTAGATCATCAATTTCCATCCTGAATCAGTCCTCCAAGGACTGATCGGTTGTTAAAAGACAGATTCCCAGGCCCTGGCAGCCTCACTGACTCATGAGCTTGGGGGATGAGGCCCGGGAATCTGTGTTTTCACAGACTTACACCACTCCAGCTAGGAGCGGTGACCAGGTTCAGGAACCCCTGGGCCAAGGGCTCCAGGACGCCCTCCCAGTCCACTGGTCCAGGAAGGCACAGAAGGTGACTTCCCCCGCCCGGCCTCGGGACAGTGTGGTGGGCACCTTCCCTCCCGCCAAAGCTCCCGCCAAAGACCCAACGACCACTGATGTCCCAGATCTCCTGCCATGGCCTCTGCTGGGCCTGCAGTCACTCTGGGCTCACCTTCGCCGCCAAAGTGAGGTTGCTGCAAGAGAGCAGAAGGGCCAGATGAGACGAGAGGAGGGCAGGACAGGGCAGGGCCCACTCCGAGTCCGTGGGAGCCCTTCCCTGGCCACAGGTGTGTATCTACAAGGATGTCACATCGGCACCCATCTACAAGCACCTACTGTGTGCCAGGCCCAGGAGGGCTGCAAAGAGAGAAACCACCCTGCCCTCCAGGGCACTCCCGCCCGGTCTGACCACACACATGCCTGATGAAGCATAAGATAGAAGTGAAGGGCAGCAAGATAAGCTAAGACCCAGGCCAGTCCCTTTCTTTCCAAGGGAGCTGGAAGGCTTCCTGGAAGAGGTGGCACTGAGCTGGGCCTGGAAAACTGGAAGCAGAGCATTTCAATAGCCAGCGAAGGGAAGACGTCATCCTGGGGATCCCCTTCTCTCCTCCCACCGAGTTTGGACCGAGTGCCAACTGGGGGCCAGAGAAGACCAGCTTTACGTGTCCCTCCCCCAGCGCGGGAACTCCTCTGGGAAGCAGCTTTCGGCTCATCGTAGGGAAGGGCAAGGTCTGAGCACTCTGCCCATTTTGCAGAGGGTAAACCAAGGTGGGGAAGGCCAAGGAGCTCACCTTAAAGATGTACATGCTCTGCACCACCACGGGCATTTGGAAGCCCAGGCTTCTGGCCAAGGCCTGGAAGGGGACAGAGGTCACACTGCCAGCCAGCCACACTCATGTATGGCCCATCTACCCCCCTCACCTCCACCTCTGCTCACCTGCACCTTAGGGGAGTGTGTGACACACTTGAAGACAGGGTCATGGGCGTGCAGAGCTGCAGGACAAAGGCGGGCTGATGGGCTGGCCCCCGTGCATCCCCGCCACGTCTAGCCCTGGACGTCCCAGACTCAGGCCTCTCTAGTGCTGGTTTCATGCGCATTAAGCTTTCTGCTCATTTATAACCAAGGAGTGGGCCCCACAAACACCTTCACCCCATCCAAGTCCCCATCCCACCCGTGACCTTGATCTTTCCAGCCATCTGAGAGCCTTACTCCAGCCCTGATTCCCCACTCCTCAGAGGACAAAGCGCTCCAAGGGGCCCGTCACTTGGTGGCAATCTCAACACTGCCACTGACTCCCTAGGACTCACAGGGCTAACTCGCGTGCTGCCACCGCCCAGGGCCTGCACTGGGGAGGTGCTCTTCTCATTATCTGCTATGTCATTACTACAGAAAGTGGGAAGGGGCTGGGGAGGGCAGGGTGGACATGTCACATGTCACTTACCCCTCAAAAAGAGAGAGGGGTGGATGTACCTAACACCACTCCAAAATGGTTACGGTGGTAACTTTTATATGTATTTTACAACAAAACATTCACCAAGCTATATAATATAACTTCAAGCTTAAAAATAAGCAGTTTACATAACAAACTATAACATACCATCCTGGGGGGAAAAAAAGAATTTCCTCGGAGCAGGGACCATGTCAATACATTAGGTGCTCCTTAAGGAGGCTCCAGGAAGCACCCCCGTGCCCAGGACCCAGGTCACCCCCAGGCCGAGGGAGGGAGCTGAGGTGTCTGCCGTGCCCACCTGTGGGGGTGGGGGGCTCTGCAGACCCCTCTTCCTAGTGGCATGTGTTCAGCATCATGAGACTCAGAAGAGCAGGGCCAGAGAGGACGCTGCCGCAGTCAGAAGTGCCATTTGCTGGGCCGCTGACTTACTGCGGGCTTTGGGTAGTGCCCCTAAACTCTTCAGGCCCCAGTCTACCCAGTTCCTTTCCCTAACGTGCTTGCTTACCGTGGCCAATTTTGTTGATGGATTTCTCTGGAGGGACCAGGAAATTTCCTGCGGCACAAGGAACAGGTAAAGGCTGAAATCTGGAGCCCAGCCTCTCCTGGGGAGCTGACCTCACAGCCCCCACCACAGCTCTGGGGGCCGACACCCCTGTCCAGGGCACCCCCACCCCCCGGGGCCCAGGCTCCGAACCTTTCTCATCAAAAACTCCTTTCTCAAAGAAGAATCGAATCTTGTCGCCACTGCTCAAGAAATAGTCCGTGCTGCCCTGTGAAGGGGACAACAAGGACGGAGAGCACGTCATGGAGTCAGGGCTGGGCCTGGCCACGAGGAAAGAGGACTCAGGTGCATCCCACCCACAGAGTTACGGACCCTGCTGGTACTTCCCAAACCTGCCCACCAAGGCAGATGGGAACGGGAACCCCAAGGGCCCAGAAGCACAGCTGGAAGCTACGAGCAAGGACTTCGTAAAAACCTCTCCACAAGTCACATGGCTCGCCCGTGACGGGGGGGTGGGGGGGTGGCTCAAACCCAGGTGCAGTGCCCGGACAGCCTTGGCCCCTTGCGTCACTTCTCAAAGCCTCGGTCTCCTCCTCTGCAAAGGGGACTAACACCAGAACTGACCTCCCTGGGATTTCTTGAGGCTTTAAGTAAAGGCTGAGAGCACAGACCCTAGAGCCAGGACGCTGGGGTTTGAATCCCAGCTCTGCTGCTGACGTGGCTGTGTGGTCACACCACATTACTGAACCTCTCTGGGCTTCATTCCCTCCTAAAACATAAAGGCTGCAAATGGCACCTGTCTCGCAGGGTGTTGTAGGAACTACAAGTAGGTGCATGGAAAGTACTAGAACAGTCCTTGGAATGAGGTTAAGTGACATGTGAACATCTGCTTTTATTATTATCATTACAACCGCCATCAAATAGGAAGTACTGGGCAAGGGCGTGGCAAAACACCTGATAGACATTGGGGTTGGTCAAAAAGGGTTTTTTTTTTTTCTGTACGATGGCTCCAGTAGCGCTTCGTTGTCTTTAACTTCATTTTAACCAACTTTGTTAGATTGTACTGGGGCAGCTGTCATATCAGCGTGCATTTAAAAAAAAACATCAACACTGGCGAACTTTTGTGCAGCCATTTTAACATTGAAGATGGAAGAAAATATGCAACATTTTCCGCATATTACGCTTTCCTATTTCAAGAAAGGTAAAAACACGACTGAAACTCAAGAAACGATTTGTGTAGTGTGTGGAGAAGGTGCTGTGACTGATCGAACGTGTCAAAAGTGGTCTGTGAAGTTTTGTGCTGGAGATTTCTCTCTGGAGGATGCTCCACCGTCGGGTGGAGCAGGTGAAGTTGACGGTGATCAAATCAAGACATTAATTGAGATCAACGTCATACCATGTGGGAGATGGCCAACATGCTCAAAATATCCAAATCAATAAAATTATTAGTGAAAATGAAAAACATGTCTTTTATTTTATGGAAAAAAAAACCATACAGACTTTTTGGCCAACCCAATAGAAGCTATTACTAACGTTTTTCTGTTTTCTGAATGTCTTTTTGTTAATATTGTGCTTTAGATTCCTTAGCACTGTATAAAAATGATACTTGCGCCACCCGACGAGTTGACCACCTTCATATACATCTCCCCATCTTCCCGCACGGTGCCAGAGCAGTTGGGTGGCACCGACCCCCGACCCGGCTTCCCAGGGACGCAGCCCTGCCACGCCCTCGCCTGTGTCTCTGCTGGCCCTTTCAAAGGCCTTCCCACTGAAAACTAAAAGAACATTTTTTCAATGTTCTCGGCCCTGCCCTTCAGGATCAGGAGGAGGAAAAACGAGTCAGGGAAGCATAACTGAATAACATGGAATTTAACGATGCTCAAGGTGCCCAAGGTTTTGCTTAACTCATTAATGCACCAGGGAGCCAGTAAGATGTGCCAAGGAGAAGTCCCTTGGCACAAGATGTGTGGGGCTTGTCCCCGCACATGGGCAGCAATGAATGCCGAACCGAATTTACAAACCGGTGCGAAAGTCCTGTCTGCGGCGCAGTAACAATAATCGCGCTCTGCATCACTGTAACCAGTGCAGGGCCCGGAGAACAGCTGTGGTCTGCAGCTGGACCCAGCCCTCATCACGTCTGCAGTCAGACATGTGCATGCCGTCAGCACAGTGCGACGTAACCACACACTCAAGTTATGAGTTAACTCAGAGATGAGGGGAGGTGCAGGGCGGTGAGCTGGGCGAACGGGACAGGGCACTCCCTCATCTTTCCTTTCTTTTAATGTTAAAGTCTTTCCCGGGACCAGTAGTGACCATTGAGGATTTACTGTGTATCAAGCCCTCTGCTGAGTCCTTAATCATTATACAGGGTGGGGCAGAAGTAGGTTTATCGTTGTTTTATGCAAAAATAATACAATGATTAGTCAATAACAAGAATAACCTCCGTGTTTTGCATACTCACAACTGTCAACACTTGCCCCACCTGTGCACCGAGATACCTATTCTTCCTCCTCCCGTCCTCTCCCCACCCCCTCACTGGTCCCTGGAGCATTCTCAGAAGGCAGCTGGGAGAGCACAGGATCTCCATCTCTGCTCTACCCACCGAGAAGCCTGGAGTGCTGACGAATAAAACGGACTGTTCAGAGGAAATGTTGATCCTGCACCCGTTTCCCTCTCAAGTCCTGTCCTGTGGTTGCTCGGCTTCAGCCACTGTGACTCCCTTTACCTCCACCAGGTGGCAGGAGGTCCTCAGAGTTGGGGGGAGGCCCAGGAGTGGGACGGGAGCTGGCTGGGAAAACTGCGTGGGAGAATCCCCAAGTCTGCACTTCCTGCTCTCAAACTGCACTGCGCCACATCCGGTCAGAGGAGGGAAACTAGCTGAGTTTACAGTCTCATGGGGGGACAAGCCCCACACAGGCAGTGCCATCGAATCCCCTGCCTCATTCAGGGTCACTGGCCACCAGGGGGCCCTTTTGTGACTGGAGCGTGACTGAGGAAGTACGGAAGAGCAGGGGACAGCATGGATCTGACGTCACCCCTGGGTGACCAGAACACTTCTGGGTTCTGATCCTTGCCCTATCAATGACTAACCCCCTGGTCTGGGGCAACTGACCAGAGCCCCATCGTCCCCACCTATCGAATGGGGACAATAATGCTGACCGTACACCCTCACAGTGAGGAGTGCAGGAAATACGTGCCTAAGGCTTTAGGCCTGAAGCCTGGCGTGAGCTGCAGGCCTCCGGACTGCTGCCCTGGCCGAGGAATGCACCCCCCATCAAAGACCATCCCCAGGCCCCTACCTGGGCTCGCAGCTGCTCCTCCTCCTGGGTGGAAAACTCTGTGCGGCAGTGTGGAGGGACATCCATCCCGGCCACTATCTCGCCAACCCTCTGCTGCAGGGCCACACACTCGTCGGCGGACAGGAACCCTTCCAGCACCAGGAATCCATCCTCCTGGAACTGTGGGCAGGAGGGAGACTCAGGCTCCCCGCCCCCCCCCCCCCCCCCCACTCTCCATGAGAACCGATTGGACCCGGACCCTGCCGTCCAAACCATGTGAAGGCAGGACCACGTGTCCTGCTCATTGCTCTGGCCCCCACCCTGGCCAGTGTCTGGCGTCCAGTGATGAGTGATCAGTATTGGATGGAAGGAGGAAGGGGAAGGCAAGGGGTCCTTCCCTTCCCCTCCAGTGGGCTTGGGTCACGCTGATTAGTAATGAGCGATCCAGCCAGGATGCCTGCCCTCCGGGAGCTGACGGTCTAGCAAAGGAGCACGACAGGGAACAAGCAGCCCCCAGGGCAGCCAGCTGTCGCACACTGCTGAGTGCAAGGCGGGAGGGGGCAGTGCTGGAGCTGAAGAAGAGAGCAATGCAAACCAAGTGGGGACGGGGGTCTCAGGGTGGCAGCCCCGAGGAGGTGACATTTAAAGGGGCTGGCAGGGTGTGCAAAGCCCCTGAGCTCAGGAGAAACAAGGAATTGGGACCCGATGGAGCAGAGTGAGCGAGAGTGTGCAAGGAAGGGGGGGGCAGGGGCCAGGCTGTGCAAGGACCTGGGCTTTGTCCTGAGCACACGCAGTGGGGGGTCAAGGCTTACTCTGAGGTGCATCCAGTCCTCTCACCTCTGAGGCCGTTAAGGGAAGAATAGTTACATGTTTGAGTGTAGATATAAATGAAGTCTTAACCTGAACACGGTCATTGAAAGTCACCCCCTGAACCCACTGTGAAGTGCCCAATTTCCCATTACTGACCCCCCCTCCCATCCTCCACGGATGTCAGTTCTGCCCCCCATGTACACACGGATGCTGGGACACTCGTGACCTCGCAGCACGGCCGCTTCAGCCTCTGGGCAGCGCTGCAGGACAGAAACTCAGTAGTAAGCCCAAACTGCCCCCTTGGGAGCCGGGTCACCCACAGCCAACCGTGCATAGCCACGATCCTGTAAACACGCTGTCGCAACTCTTGAGATAAGATGTTGGAGGATTAGCAAATTGGGGGGGCAAAGATGGATGTATGGGCGTGTTCACTGAGGCCCGTTTAACGGCCGCCGTAAGTCAGAAATAACCTAAATGCGCAGCACAGAGGATTTGTCCAGCAAAGTCCGGTCTGTCCAGAACACAACACAGCTGAACACCACCATGTGGCAGAAAAAGGTTTACTGACATGGGAATATGTTCCTGATGAAAAAAAAAAGCTAAATGCAAATTAGTGTCCTAGCCACGCACTCAATAAGCAGAAAGCTACAGAAAGATTCCACAGCTGTGTACCAAAATATTGTGACAGTGCAAGAATTTGTGGGTGCTTTTAAATTTTCTCCTTTGAGCTTTTCTGTATTTTTCTGCATTTTTCTCTTGTCATCAGGAAGAAACAACAAGGGTCATGTTATTGAAAAGACTTTGTTCCTCTAATTCCCCGGAGTAAGGCTGTGGTGTTGCAAAGCACGCGAGACCCTAGCGCCAGAGCCGGCTCCGGGAGAAGGCAGGCCCTGGCCGGCCCCACCCGTGGCTGCTCTCGAGACTTTATTGTGGGTTCTGGTCACAAGACGCACACATTCCCATCCCAATTGGTTCTGTGGTCTGGGTGCCCCAGGCTGTGTGTGCAGAAGTTAGAGGTCGTGGTTGGGAACCAACTGCTCGGGCTTCAGTTTCTTTTTCTGAAAAACGGCAGGGAGTCGGGCTGAGTCCATGGGACCGGGGAGTAAGTACTTCCTGTCTCTGCCAGAGGGTCCTCCCGCTCTCACCTGACCCTCCCTGCTTCCTACCTTCTGGAGCTGCTCAGGGCTCAGGCCGGCCATGAGGAAGAAGCTGGGCAGCCGGGTGGCTCTGTGCTCAGGCTGGTGCGGAACAAAGTCAGGAGGGCAGAGTGCAAAGAGCCTGGGAGGCCTGAAGGACTTAACTACCCAGAGCAAACCCAATCCCCGCCCCAGCCCCAGCCCCGCCCAGTCCGGGCTTCCTCCAGGTTGAGCCCATTTTTTTCAGGCCCCCCCCCTCCCCCCGCCCTGACTTCCCTGCCCTGGGTGCCTCTGCCCCAGCCCCAGCCCCACACCCTGGGTCAACCTTCCCAGCTAACCCAGGCTGAGCTCTCCCAGACCTTCTTCATGCTTTTCACTGCTCCTCCCTGGGGGCAGGGGCTGGCTGCTTCCGGGGGGATCCAGGAGTTGAATTCCTGAAGTATCTGGGCTAAGAGGCTGGGCAGACAAGAGCACCAGCCTGCATGCCACTAACTGTGACCAGTCCCGGGTCACCAGTATCATCTGGGTGGGGGAAACTGCAGGGGGGCCAGGCACACCAGACCAGCCCTCACTGGCTTTGCACTGACGAGATAAAGGAAGTCTTCAGGGAACTGTCTGGGCCCCTCCCAGCTCTGAAACTCCAGGTCCTGGCAGGGTTATGGAAGGGAGTGTGCCGATCAGTCTGTAGCTCAAGGAAGGCAGGAGATAAGGGGGATCTTAGGAGGAGGATCTCATGCCTGGGTCTTCAGCATGAGTAAGCCATGGTTCCTGTTCCCCACCCCCAGGCCCAAGAGGTTTGGTGTCTGGAGTTAGGGGGTGCAGCGGGGGGGGGTGGGGGGCTAGCACATGCACACACACGTGCCCACCCACCCTTCTAGCCAGCCTGCACAGCTGCAGACAAGCCCTTCTGGCTTCAACTTCTGGGAACCGGCCACTGGCCTTTCTTGAAATGACGCTATCTGAATGGCAAAGGGACAGTGTGTCTCAGGAGTGCAGGGACAGCTAGCTCAGCCCTCTGGAGCCTTGGCCCAGAGTCAAACTGTTGTTTGGGCTACTGCTCTGGGAGTGGCTGCTTGGTCCCAGGAGGGTTAGGGGACAAGAGGGTCACAGGGTTAGGCTAGGAGGCGGAGCGGCCGAAGACAGAGCCATGAGAAACAGCCGAGAATCGTTCGCTCGCTCACCCGCTGTCCTGGCCCCCCTGGTGCAGCCACCCGGCGAATACTGAGTCATGTGCCGCAGCAGGGCGAGGGTCCATCACGCTGGATGGACAGCCCCCTTGGGAACTGCACCACGAGCTCGAAGTGGAGGCTCAGGGGGAGCCTGGGTTCTGTCCACACCCAGCCTCACTTTCCCCATCTGTAATTTGCGGATAACACAAGTATCTCTTATGAGGAAGGTGGATACTTCTAATTAAGAGCTTGGCACAGGGCCTGGCACTTGGTGAATGCCTTACCCACTCTTCTCTGAAAACTAGCAGAAGCTGTTCTGGGTAGAATGTGAGGGTATTTTATCTTTTGAATTTCCCCAAGTTTTCCAAACTGCTGTTACAATCAGAGAAAAGACCACCACTGTGGTTTCTGTGGAGAATACTGGGGGAAGGGGTGGGAGGGGGAGGGGCTGTGCCTTCTACAATTTGTCCATTTATTTTGCTCATGCTTTTAGAAGTGAGTGGGTGGTGTTTGTGCTTTCCAAAAGCTAACCAGCTCCAGATCAAACACTCCTGTGCTGGATGCTGGGCAGCCCCAAGGCTGGGGTGGGAGCAGGCGTGGGAGGTGGTAGGGAGCAGCCAGACCAGATCAGGATGGGCATTAGAGGGGGGTCCAGGCCCAGCTGTTCCCCGCCAGGAAGCCCATGCCAGAGGCAGAGAGGAAGAAGGTCCTGGCTCAGTCCCGAGGGCATCTAGAGGGGTCAGAGTCCCTGGAGCGAGGACAGAGGAGGTGCCCAAGCAGCAGATAAGGCCTCACCACTGACGCCCAGATCGGACACGATGGCCTTTCTTCCTTACCAAAAGACGGCTGCCCCCGGCCCCAGGGCCAGCCCTGCACGAGCCTCCCTGGTTCAGGAGGAAAATATCCTTCACTGTTACCACAGGGACCCAGGCCCTCTGCTGAAAACCCCGCCCACCTTCAGAGTTATCATGAGTGAGCCTCAGGACAACCCTGCAAGGCTGCCAGCATCGTCCTGACTTTTACAAATGAGGGAACTGCGGCCACTGAGGGCACCATCAGAACAGCATAGCTAGGATCTGAGGGCAGTTCTGCCCATCTCCCCGAGCCTCTGCCCTTGACCCCAGCACCTTCAGTAGGCTCCCAAAGGGGCTGGGAGCAGGTCAGGCCCTCCCAGGGTCGCTCCAGCCCCACCTGTGCAGAGCCCTGGGACTGGCTGCTGGAATTCCAAGAACTGAGGAGAGCAGAGAGAGGACGTCCCCACCGTACAGATGGGGCTGTGGAGGCCATGGGAGGGAAAGGGTCTGCCCCGCTCCGTGCAGGGATGACGAGCTGGGACGGGGACCTGGGAGCACTGGCTCCCATTCCAGTGCCCCCGCCCCCGCCCCCGCCCCTCCCAGCTCACAAGAGCCCAAACCACAGGCCCGCAGGGCGGTGGAGTGCTGGCCGTGGCGGCCGTGGAACCCCCGGCCATGCCTGACACGTAGCAGGTGCTCTCCCCAGCTCAGTCCACGGGGCGCGGAGACATGTGGCTATCTTCTAGGGGCCCAATAAATGATCACTCCACAAACTAGTCCACAGGGCCCGGGGGGCCTCAGAGAGCAGAGGGAAGGCTCCCGCCCCATGGAGACCCCCGGAGACGACTTTCTGTGGTAGGTTTATTGGATATTGGAGTCTACAAGTTCAGACCCACACGTAACGGATTGCTTCGTGGCTGCCAGAGGCTAGTGTGCGTTATCTCTGAGGATCACATCCGATGATATGCCGCAGAAAACACGAATGGACAAATGGACAGAATCATTAAGACAAGAGACGCTAAATTTGTGCCTTAGTGTCCAAGTGGTTGATCTAAGGCGGGGACCCAGGTGACTGATCGAAATCGAAGTGGCTCCTCACCAGCAGGCGCCTGGGACAGACACTGGAACCCAAGCCCAGCAGCCTGCTTTCCCAGGGCCGCCCTCCCCACCAGTGGCCTTGCTTCCCACGGTAGCGACACGGCTGACGAGAGCAGCTGAGGCCGGCGGTGGCACTGGGCAGACTCGGGACACAGGGGGTGGGAAAGTGGAGTCCAGGCGAGGTGGCTCCTCTCGGCTCCTCAACACTGTGATGTGGGGCAGGGAGGATGGAGCGCCGCTCATCCGGGACGGCCAGCCCGAGTCTCCTCCAATCTTGGCAGCTCCAGAACATTCCCTCTGGCCAAGAGCCACAGAAATGAGCGCCTGCCAGGACACATGGAGGGGAAGGAAAACAAGACACCAAAAACAAAACAGAAGTCCCCACCCGGGGGGGAGGAGAGGGGCCAACGGAACTCCAGGACCGCGCCAGGCCCGGAAGGCGCCCTGGGGGAAGGGCGCACAGCTCAGGGTCCCGCTGCCTGCGCCCACCCTGAGACTCCAGCTCACTGGCCGCTAGTGTCTTTGGGCTTTTTTTTAAAGTTTTTTCTTTTTAATACCCAAACCTTCAATTTTCAAAGTTTAAAAAAAGTTGTTACTTAAAAAAAAAAAAAAACAATCTAAAACTGATGAGGCGAGCCCCAGGCCCGGCCTTTCCACCCAATGGCCTGCTCTCCCACGGGCCGGGCTGACACAGCCCAGCCCGGCACTGCTGGGGCCGCCATCTGCTGCTGGTCCACCCGGCCACGCCGCTCCAGTCCGTGTGGGCACTAAATGTGGGCAGCATCGCCACAAACGGAAAAGCAGAACAGCCCACCCTTCCTTAAACACCCCCACCGGAGCTGAACTTTCTGGGGAATGTGTCAGTTATCAGGAGGGAGGGGCGGTAGGTGGAGAGAAATAAATACCAAGAGCTATGGAGACTTCCCGGAGCTCTGGCACGGGCTCAGCCTCGGGGCAGAGGGGGCCTCTGGGGAGGAGGCCGTCCCAACACCAGGCTCCCTGCGAGACAGATTACAGGTCTCTGATCACCCCAGCGGGCGCCTGCCCTGGGGGCTGAGTCTCAGAGGGAGAAAGGGGCCAGCCCTTCAGGCACTGTCCTGCCGCCCTGGCCCCGCTCACATCCAAACCCAGGCCGAGAGGCTGAGGTGGCTGTCCCAGGGTTTCTGGGTTCCTGGGCCCCGAGGCCGCCTCGGCGGTCCCACTGCTGGCCACGGCAGGCCGGGCCTGTGCTCGCAGTCGGCCGCAGCTCAGGCCTGCTCCTTGTCGGCCCTCCACAGCCGCTCCTTCACCTCGGGCGGCAGCGTGTTGAACAGGTCCTCCTCCACCACCAGGCCGCTGCGCTTGAGCAGCGGGCACTCGCCCAGCTCCACGGGCAGGCACTCGAGCCGGTTGCCCCGCAGCTCGATCTGGGTCAGGTTGGTCAGCTCGCCCACCCGTGAGGGCAGCGACTGCAGCACGTTGTTGCCCAGGTGCAGGGCCCGCAGCTTCCGGCACTGGAAGAGCTCTGGGGGCAGCGCCTCAATCTGGAGTGGAAGGAGCAGGGGGGCGAGTGAGGTGGGCAGGCTCAGGCCGGAGGTCTCTGGGTCCAAGGCCTCCCTCCCTCCCTCCCTCCCTCCCTCCCTCCCTCCCTCCCTCCCTCCCCAGGCCACAGGCACCTCCCTGAGGCCCAGTCCAGCTCCCCGGGTCCCAGTACCAGCACAATCTGGCCCAGAGTCTGGCTTATTTCCACCAGTACTTTAGGTGTCAGCTCTGCAGTTACATCCTCAGAAAGCCTTCCCTTACCTCCTGGGTGAGCCATGGCGCCTAGGGGCCCTCACAGCACTGATCTCTCGGTGGTAAAATTGCTCCATCACCTGTCACCCAGGACTGTGCGCTCTGAGAGGGCAGGCCTGGGTCCACCTAATTCCCCACCTTCTCCCACACCTGACACCCTAAGATACACTAGCCAGCCACTATCAACCATGCCCGCTCCCCTACTGCCCAGGGCTCACCAGGACCCAGGTCCTCTCTGGTTTAAGAATAATTTATGAGCACTGGCTGGCGTCACTCACTGGACTAAGCACTGGCCTGTGAACCAAAGGGTTCCGGGTTCGATTCCCAGTCAGGGCACATGCCTGGGTTTTGGACTGGGTTCCCAGTGGGGGGCATGCAAGAGGCAACCACACATTAATGTTTCTTTCCCTTTCTTTCTCCCTCCTTTCCTCTCTCTCTAAAAATAAGTAAATATAACTTAAAAAAAAAGAGAGAGAACAATGTATGGAAGTAGAGCAGCATGCTGAGAAAACTCCAACCCCTGCACGTTGCTGAGGACTGAGAAGCCCAGCTCTGTCACTTCCCCTTCCTGGGGCCTCAGTTTCCTCATCTGTCAAGTCACAGACTGCGAGTGCATTAGCCCAGTAGAGGCCCCTCGGAGCCCCCTTCCGATCTTGCAGAACTGGAATACCGGGCAACACTCACTGGCAGCTTAGTCCACAGGCAGGCTTGTTCTGAGCACTGAGACGATCAACTCTTTTAACCCTGGGAACTACCTGTAAATATTCTATAACCACTCGCCCCATTTTTCAGATGGGGTCACTGAGGCCCTGGAGAAGCTAACTTGCCAGTGGTTCACAGCTTGAAATGGAAGAGCCAAGGGGAACCAGGTTCAACACATGTCCTCTAAGCGTCTGCACCATTGGGGGAACGAGGAGTGAACCCGGGGCCCAAGGGGGACCGCTGTGTCCTGGCATGTCAGAAGAGCTGCACAGTGCCAGCTCCTTCCCTGCCTGTCTGCAAGTTTCAGCTGTGAGCTCTTACTGGGCCAATCTGCCCTGAAACGACCTACTTCAGATGTGATGGGCAGGAGGGATCCTGCCAGCTCTGAGGTCACTCTGTCATTGTCCCCATTTTCCTGCGGAGGAGGCCAAGGCCTGGAGAAGTGAAACGGGACACTGCAGAACCAGAAAGGGCCGAGGGGGCTGTGGGCTCAGCCTTCTCCGACTTGGAGCCCGCTGGGGTCCCAGCCTGCCACCTGCGGTATGGTGGGCTACGCAGCCCCGGGCAAAGCCCTCTCCCCACCTGGACCTCAGTCTGCCCATCTGTGGAATAAAAAGGTTAGACTAGAGATGTCTCTTGTCTGGGACCTTCTGGTAGACTTGGACCTGTACCTAATAAGCTCTTGCTCTCTCCGGCCATTTTTGGAAGAGGACACTCATTTCAGGGCAGGAACTTGTCCTTCCCAACAGGAAAATCAGTAACGCTATTGCTGGACAGAGGCCATGCTATGAGGGGACACTGTGGCTATTTTAAAGGAGACTCCTGACATGGCTTCCAAAATTGCCACCGCTGTATCCACGGTCAGGAGTGGAGCAGAGGTGGCTCCAGGCCAGCAGGGCCAAGTTCAGGGACGTAAAGGTGAGAGGGCAGAGGGGACATGGGCTCCAGCAGTACCGAGGGGCACGGAGCCTTCCAGAGACCCCACGCCCCCACAGTGACCCCCTCTGATGACGAAGACAGGGTTAGAGAGCGGTGGGGAAGCCTCCAGCCGAGGGTGGCAGAGCTGGGGTTCACAGGCAGAGCTCCCTCCCTGCCACCCCCTCCCTGGAGCAGCCCCTGCCCCAGCCGGTGAGCTCTCTCCAGAGAAAGAGAAGCTGCCTTCAGTGGCTCTGTGCCCTGCCATGGCCACACCTGTCCTTTAGGCCTGTCCTTCTTCCCAAGATGTCACTTGTCTGCTGAAGGCTTAAGTTCACACCACCCCCAGCCCCGCTCTGTCCCACGTCCTCAGGGACCTCAGTGGATCCCCGAGCACCACCGAAGCAGCCTCAGGTCTACCTGATCTTTGGAGAAAACAACCTCCCAGGAGCCTCTGGGGCTGCCCCATTGTTCTCCAACCTCCCCGACAAATACCTGGAAAGAGATCATCTCTCTTCAGCCCATTGTGATCCAGCCTCCACCCCCAACCACCCTTGAAACTCTGGCCAAAGTCACCAACTGCCAGCCTCCGAATCCACTGGACCCTAACCTGCTCTCCTTTCAGCTGACTCCTTCACGTGCCAGGAGCTCTGCCTGGCCTTGCTCTTCCACTGTCCACCCTGAAGGCTCCAGACAGACTTCTTTCCTCCCCCGTCCATCCTCTCTCCCTGGGGATATTGCCAAGAATCCCTCTCACCCATAAGCCCCAGGGTGATGATACCTTGAGCTTCAGGCTGATTCAGCATGGCCTCCTGGATATCCCAGGGCCCCAGACACCCAACATGGGATACATAATCTCCCCTCTGAAAACCGGTGCCTACTGCTGTGTCCTGTCCCGAGGACCCTCCACCTGCCCAGGCAGCCAGGTGAGAAACCTTGTGCCACCCAAGACCACGCCCTCCTCCCCACTTCCCACCCAGCCCCCATCGAGTCCACCGGTCCCTGGCAGCTCTACCAGTGCAGGCATGACCCCTCCCCAGGGGCTGCACACCGGTTTCTATCAGCCGCTGCCTGCTCACCTGGCCCCTCTACCCCCCACACTGTAGCAAGAGCAATCTCTACACTGCAAGGCAGCTTGCCCCTCTATCCACTCAATCAGCAAGAGTTTGGTGAACACTTGCTCTGAACAAAAAGAGCTGAGGTCCCTGTCTTGAGAGTCTATGGCCTGGTAAGAGGAATGGACATGAAATAAACAAAGATCCGGTCATTGAAAGGGAACTGGGAAGAACAGGATGCTCCTTCCAGCTCTTCGGGGGGGAAGTCCAGACTCCAGGGGTGGCTCACTGCTTTCTCCCTCGCCACTTTCGGTCACAGCAGAAACAGAACCTACTGACTCCTCCTCGCCTCTCACCTGACTCCTCATCCTTCAGGGGCAGTGAGGTGTCCTCCCTCTGGGAGGCCTGCCAGCCCTGCCTTAGTCTGAGTTGAGGGCACTCTTGTGTTCCAGGAGCCTTACGCCCCAGCATAGCTCATGTCACACCGTGCTTACTGTCTTTCCCCACGGGTCGGTGAGCTCAGCATGGGCAGCCGTGGGCACGCTGCCCCTTGTTTGTCCCTGTGTCCCCAGTACCGCCATGCTTTCAAGTACTAGGAGTACTTGAAAAACATTTGCCAAGTCAATGAACGAACAAATGAATGAGTGGACAAAGAATGCCTGCTTTATCAAGGTACTCCTTAGCATGAATTTAAACCTGGGAGAACGAGAGTCAAGGGCCTGGGCTGGGCCATACCCAGCCCTGCCCTTTGACCTGCAGGCCAAGGTGGCCCACGAGGAACCATCGGGCCTCTGAGGAGGGGCCTACGGCTTAAGAGGACGAGCCTGACTAAGAGGGACCCAAGGGAGCTGTTTTCCCTAGAAGGCCCCTGGCACTGCAGGGGGTGGGGACAGGACATGATTAAGCTGTGCAATAAGCAGGGTGTCAGAGGGTCTCCTCCTGGGGACAGCATGCCTGCCTGCCGCCAACTCCTTTCCTGAGGGGTGACCTCAGCCTACAGATATGACCTAAGAGGCATGCCTGGGGTGCGCAACTGGAGGTGGGGGGCAGGATGGGGAGCCAGGCTGGCTGCTGGCCACACCCTCCACTGGGGCGCCAAGCCCCAGTGCCCGCATAGCCCCCTGGACAGCGCAGGCGTCCCAAAGGGACGCGGGATGACCATGGCTGACCCAACTCCAGGTGCATTCTGGCCCCGGGCTGTACTCTGGGGGAGCCACCTGGTCCCCCACACATCTTAGAGAAAGAGCTGGGTTTTGGGGCTCTCCAAATATGGCTTCTCAGCAGCAACCCAATTTTCCTGATCACTGAGCCTGTCCCAGGTTCTGAGGGCGGACTCTCCAGGGCAGGGCAGCCTGGCATCTGACCTTCCCCCATGTTCATTCCCACAGGCAGGCACAGTCCTGACTTGGGGGAGGGAAACCAGATTTGTCATCATCTCAGACATATGCAGACAGGTTGGTTTGCAGGCGGAGAAGCTTGGGCAAGGGGAGGGGAGCTTCTCGGTGGCATGCCTGGGCTCTCCGATCTGAGTGACAATGGAGAAGGCAGGGGCATTTCAGGGTCTGGGGCCGCTGGGACACGGGGGGTCCCAGGAACACTGTGTGCTGCACAGGGCTGACACACAGCAAGTGCTCGCTGACCAGCAGGGCTGCTCTAGGCCACCACCTTCGATGGGGGCACAGAGATGGTAGCTAAATCGACCCCTTCCCGGATGTCCCAGCCCTGGCCACAGAACTCCATCACCACCCACCTCAGTGCGAGTCCCCACCCTGAAAGCAGGGACCCAGAAGAGACCTGTTCTTTCCACTGTCAATCTCCCCACAGGTCCCGGGAGAGGCAGGCAGAAGGAGGGCCCCCCCAGCACCGAGGGTTCGCTCCTACTGCAGAGGCCAGACCACAAAGCCACAGGGGCACCCTGCTCTCCGCCTCACCCACCTACCTCCGCGGAGGGGTCTGGGGTGGGGGGCCTCCTGGGCCAGGCAGGGGACTGGTGCGCAGAGGCCACGGCACAGGGACTGCCGACTGTCTCCCGGGTGTGGCCTCCCACACTTCTGGCCCCAGACTGCTTGCACAATTTCCTCTCCGGAGGCAGGTGGTGACAAGTCAGCCCCGACCAAGCCCAACTCTGCCCTCCCCCACCCCCAAACGCAGAGCGGAGAGGGGTGAGGGCAGTGTGCTGGCAGCTGTGGAGGCAACCTGGCTTCCCCTCGGTGGGCCGCCGCCGCCGCCACCACGAAATTTCGCTCTTGGCAGACCCAGACTGGAGCTTTGGTCCCAAATCTGGTCCAGGACAATCCCGCCAGCTCCTGGCTGAGTACCGCCTCCCCGACCCCGCTGACAGAGACAGAGGGAGGCAATCACAGGCCTTGAGTCTCCTGCCCGCACACACTCCTGCCTACGAGAAACCCACACAAGGGCACCTTGGGGACAGACCCCACCTGACCACACAATCCCTCCTGGCAGGAGAACTCTGTCGTGTTCTGTGGTGGAGACAGGCTTTCAACCCCAGACATCTGATCTGGCAGGTCTGGAGTGGAGGTGGGGAAACCTGAAGTTTTAAACACTCCTCCCAGGCAGTTTTGGGAAGCACAGGTGAGGTCCTGAGACACGGGGCCTCCCAAGCACCCCAGCAGGGGCCACGACCAGCCCGCCCGCCAGCCCCCACAAGGAGCCAGGGCCACTCACCCGGTTGGCCGTGACGGCCAGGTTCTGAAGGCTCTGCAGGAGGCCGATGTCGGCGGGGAGGAAGGTCAGGTTGTTGTGGCTGAGGTCCAGGTAACGCAGCTTGCGGCAGTAGAAGAGCTGTGGGGGGATCTTCTCGATCTTGTTGCGGTTCAGGTAGAGGCGCTCGAGGTTGGTGAGGTTGCCGATCTGGATGGGGATGTAGGCGATGTGGTTGTACCACAGCTTAAGGCAGGTGAGGCGGTGCAGGTGCTGGAAGCTGATGATCTCCTCGATGGTCTTGAGGTTGTTGTCCTTGAGGTCAATCTCCTGCAGGTTGTGGAGGCTAAAGATGGAGTGGGGGATGCGCTCCAGGTCACAGCGGATCAGCTCCAGCTCCGTCAGGTTCACCATCTTCTTGAGGCTGTTGAGGACGATGAGCTTGGTGCCCTCGTTGTTGATGGACAGCTTCTGCAGGTGCACACCCACGTCCGTGACCACCTGCGGCAGCTTGCTCAGGTTGCTCTTGAGCCGCAGCACCTTGAGGCGCTTGAGCTCACGCAGCCCATCGATGACGATGTAGCGGTTGTTCTCCGCACTCAGGTTGCCCGTCAGGTGCAGCTCCTCCAGCGTCTTCAGGCTGTAGATCCACAGCGGGATCTCTTTGATGTCCGTGAACTTGATGTGCAGGGCCCGCAGGTTCTCACGCAGGAAGGCCAGGGCCGGCGCCTCGATCTTGGCCGCCGTGTGGTACAGCCACAGCTCCTGGAGGCCCGTGAGCTGGGCGATGCTGGGCGGGATGGTCACGTCCGGGATGAGCTCCAGCTTCAGCACCTCCAGCTCCACCAGGTCGAACACGGTGTCGGGGATGCCACTGAGCATGAACAGGTGCAGTTCCAGCTTGTCCTGAGCGTTCTTGGTGAGCCGCTGCCGCAGCTTGTCCAGCGTCCACTCATTGTTGAGGTTCAGCTGCCGCAGCTTGTTCTCGCTCACCTCTGACAGGAAGACGGCAAAGCGCTTCGAGTAGAGCGGGTCGTACTGGTCGATGAGGTGCAGCATGAAGGCGAAGTCATTCTTGACGTCGGGGATGTCGCTGTAGCTGCTCTCCTCGCGGATGGACTCGAAGGAGTACTTCTTGAGGGAGCGGCGCAGCATCCACCACAGCGTGTACATGCAGATGAGGCCGTAGAAGATGACCAGGCTGATGTAAAAGGACGCCAGGATCTTGAAAAGCGTGGCCAGGGGGTGGGCACACCGGTAAGTGCGGTAGCCCGTCAAGCTCTCGATGTCCACGGTGCAGTCCACGTCGAACTTGATGTTGTGCACGTAGTAGACGGTGTAGCAGATGATGAGGATGAACTTGATCACCTTGATAATGGTCTGCCGCATGTAGAGGCGGTACACGATGTCGCCCTCCTCCACGTGGGTTCGGAACTTCTTCACCTTCTCGAACAGTGCCTTGGCCTGCTCCCCCTCCTTCTTGTCCAGCACGCCCGTCTCTGAGCGGTCCACGATGCCCTGCTCGATCCGAGACTTGGTCCTCTGCAGCATGGGCACGGTGGCCTCCACGTCCTCGCTGACGGTTGACGACTTCTTGTCCATGGAGCCATTCATCTTGCTAAAGGCCGGCTTGGGATCGCTCTCCTCCACCACCGTCTCCGACAGGGCCCGCGTGGTCCACGGCGAGTCGAAGCACTTGAGCAGTATGGACACAAAGTGCTCCAGCTTCGAGCTGGTGCGTGGGAACTTGAACCAGAAGTTGCTGCAGGCCAGGAAGATGAGTGTGTGCAGCAGCACCAGGTAAGGGAAGTACTTGGCAAACCAGTGCAGGCGGTTCTCATAGCACACGGCGTCCACGTAGTTGTACTGGTGCCGGTCCAAGTCATACCTGATGCCGGTGGGGCCCGTGTCAGGGATCGGAAGGGCAGTCGAGTTGGGGTAGGAGGGCTCCGGGCCAGGGGCCACCCAGCCCCGAAAAGAGTCGTTGCAGGAGTCCTTGGTGACCCACTTGCAAGGCAGGCAGATCATCTTGTCCTGGGTGACCTGCAGCGTGCCCCCGAAGACCGCGATCATCAGCATGACAATGGAGATGTAGTCGGTGAACACGTCCCACCAAGGCTTCAGGATCCGGTACGCCGGCTGCGTGTCCGCGAAGTAGCGGAGCTCTGTCACTGGAATCATGGTTCCACCTAAAAGGGTCCATGTGAGGGAGTTACTGCAGGTGGCCTGGCTCCCTGGGACCCCGGGGTCAGGGGAGGGAGACGATGGGTCTGTTGTCCAGAATCCCACCTCGAGTTAGAGCCTTGCCATTCGCAGGGCAGCCCGCAGATGAGCCTTCCTCCAGAAGCCTTGCAGTCACCAGACGGCTGGGAAACCGCCGTGGGGAAGGCAGGCAGCCCCGCCCCCCAGTACACAGCAAGGAAGACTGAGCACTGAGACCAGGACCCGCGCTGACAGATGGCTAACTGGCCCTCACAGGAGCCCCCCTGCACTCCAGCAAGAACATTCTGGAATTCCCAGCTGGATCCCATCCTCTTACTGATAAGACTGACTAGAGGGCCTTGTTGAAAACCCCCAGTTCACTAGGAACCAGCTGCCGTGAGCCAGCGACCTGAAGAGATTTCTGCAAAGCACAAGAAAAGCCAAATGGAGAAAAGAGGGCTTAACGTGAACTCACTTCCGTAAACCAAACCGGGAGGTTCGAAAACCCCTCTGCGTGCGGGTGGTTATGTCCATACAGGATTCCAGGAGCCCCGGGGGGACCGGAGGACACATGCCCAGCAGGTGCACCCAAAGAAGAGCTTCTGGGGGGGGAACGACAAGAGAACTAGAGCGCACTCCACCGGAAGCGGGACGACACAATCGTGCCCGTGCATTTGTGTGAGGTTCTCTCTGGCCGTGTCCATCCACGTGAGTATATGAAGAAACTAGAAGCAACCACAGCAGGATCTCTCCCTGAAGAGTCAAACTCGGCAGGTCTCGGGTAAAGCCAGGAATCTGCTTTTGTAATACGTGACTTCGGTGACTGGCCAAACTTGGGAAACACGAGATGAGAAGCCACACTCAGGAAACCCAGCCAATGGCGCACAGGAGGTGTGCTTCACGACACACACGGGTAAGGAACCTCACCCATGGTCGCTCTGCCAAGGTACGTGGCTCTTGTAACGGGCAGTAAAGGCGAACGGGACAAAAAGGAGCCAGGTGCTGGCAGGAGAACGCCCGGGAGAAATAAACAGTGTAAGGACAGAAATGAAACTTCCTGAAAAAAGACCATCCAGGGTTACCCACTGTTAGCTTTTCTTTTCTTTAAAACTGATTTAAAGGGGGAGAGGAAGAGCGTGAGACAGAAACATCGATTTCTTGTTCTACTTATTACGCACTCACTGGTTGCTTCTTGTACGCGCCCTGACCAGGGATCAAACCCACAACTTTGGCGTATCAGGATGACGCTCTAGCCAACTGAGCCACCTGGCCAGGGCCGGTTACCTTTTCAATGAGTAATAATCTTGTCCTCTGTATGTGTATTTAAAAAAATAAAGTGAATTTTATGTTACACCCTATTTTTAAATCTACACTTTAAACCAAAGTTTAAATACCCATTCTTTTTATTTTAGTATGTTATTTATTTTTAGAGAGGGAAAGAAACATCAATGCGTGAGAGAAACATTACTGTGTGGTTGCTTCTCACACACTCCCAACTAGGACCTGGTCCACAAGCCAGGCAGGTGCCTTTACTGGGAACAGAACTAGCGACCTCAGTAGATAGGCCAGCACTCAATCCACTGAGCCACACTAGCCAGGGCTAAACACCTGTGTTTTAACAAATGGGTCTGGCCCTGCATGGTGAACCAAAGGGTAGCTGGTTCGATTCCTGGTTGGGACACATGCCTGGGTTGTGAGCCAGGTCCCCAGCAGGGGGCGTGTGAGAAGCAACCACACATTGATGTTTCTCTCCTTCTCTTTCTGCCTCCATTCCCCTCACTCCAAAAATAAATGAATAAAATCTTTTTTAAAAACCACCAAAAAACCAAATGGGTCTGTTTCTTTTGGGAGAGGACCAAGGGTGCCCAGCTTGTGGGACGGGCCACCTTATTCTGACCACTGATACTATAAATAGCGACAACAGTAATGGATGCTTCGGAAGACTGGGCCTCCGGTCCCAGGGCGCACTGGGACAGGTGGGGAGAACAGGAGGGGCGCAGGACGGGACTCTGCACAGGAATCGGGGCCCTGCGATGGCTGTGCGCCAGGCACTGAGGGGGCCCTACCATGGGGTTCCTCTCACGGAACCCCTTCGATGTCCGAATGCGGGGCCTACCTTCAGCCCCACTCCACGGTGGGGGGATTAGGTCCAGACAGGTAGAGTCCCTCTTACAACCCACCCCCCTGCTTGGGTCCTTACCGCACGGTGGCCTTTTCCCCGCCTGCCTGCTCAGAGGTAAAGCAGGGGTAAAGAGACTGAGCAAGGAGTGCAGCTTCCCCGCCCCCGGGGTTCCCGGGGCTCAGGTCACCACAAGGCCAGCAGACGCCAGCACTGCCCTGGTGAGGCTAGCAGGCCCAGGGCGGGGCAGGGGCGGAGGGTGCCCCACAGGAGAGGAGGGCCCGGGCCCTCTAACAACCTGCTGGCTCTCACGCCACCCACACTCCCAGGAGAGTGGCACTCCAGGGGAGCCTGTTGGATCAAGCAGCGGGCCTCCCGCCGAGAGACCCCTGAACATTCAAGGCACGGGGACATTCATCCCTCCCTTCCTGGCTCCCCGAGTCCACAGTCACTGGGGACGGGAAGGAAGGAGGGAGCAAGAGGAGACCGCCTGAGCGCCTGCCCTGGAAAACCCAGAATGAGTGGGTCGTGGCAGGAGGCCAGGTGTCGGGGGTGGAGGCCGTTTATGACCAGGCAGGATGTGGTTGCACCTCACTGTTTCAGAGGGAGAATGGGCGTGTCAGGAGCTTGAAGAACACCCAGCCGCACCGTGAGGAGGTGTCTCTGGGCCCCCGCTCCCCGGGCTCTGCACATGCAGCCTTCCTGACTCCTGGTTCTGAGCTGGGAACTGGCCACAGCACTGTTCGAGGTGAGGCAGCCTGAGGCTCAGCGAGGCAGGAACTAGCCCAGGCGGCTCCGTCCCAGCACACCGTCTCTTACTCGCTCACACACACACCCAACAGCTGGTCTCGAAGTACCTCCTGCACTCTGCTCAGCCCTGGGCTCGGGCCTGTGGGGGCAATTAAGGTGACAAAGGAGTGTCCCCCATTTCAGGGGCCTCTCGATCCCGTGTGAGTGTGGAAAAGGGTGGGACAGACAGCGGAGTGCCCAAATGACTGAGCCCTGTGTGCGGGGTGGGGGCGGGCGGCTGTGGGTACTGCAGGACAGATGGGTGCCAACTTCGTACTGGAAAGGGCTTCAAGGAGGTGGGTCTTACACAAGCTCCCCACCTCTCGCAGCCTTAGGTCCTACACAAGGGGCAGGACACCTCACAGGGCTACTGGGAAGACCATGGAATTTCATGCATTTACAGAGCTGAGTGCAGAATGGGGCGGGCAGTCAGTTTTGGCTGGTATCAGCTCTCTTCGACCTTCTCACCCGGGAGACGACCAGAAGCTCCTTGGGGACAGGAGTCATCAGCCACAGTAGGTGCTTTGTAAATTCAGAGGGTCTCGAGAGATCCGCTGAGAGGGGGACAGGGCCAGAGTGGGTGCAGAGAACGGCACGGGCTTCGCGGTGTGGCAGGGAGAGGAGGCCTCAGCCCCAGGCAGACCGGGGCTGGCTGGCTGGGCTGCAGGACGGGGGAGGAAGCAGCCTGCCCGAGGGCCATGGATCCCTCACGGGCAGGGAGCTCAGGGCAGCCACCTGCCCCAGGAGCTGGGCCACTCAGGGGACTAAATACCCCCACACCCACCGTTAGAGCAGCTCCACAGGCCCAGACCAACGGCTGAGGCCAAGGCCAGGAGCTTCCCGAGCCCAGGAGGGGCAGTTGTTTCGGTGCCCGTTCTTTTCTCAAAAACGTCATTATAGTAAAATGCATTACAACACAGAGTTTACCACCTTCGACATTTTTAGGTGCACAGTCCGGCGGCGTCAAGCGCACCCCTGCTGCTGCGCGACCCCCCCACCCTCCGCTACAGCATGCTCGTCATCTTGCAGAACCAAGACTCTGTCCCCATTTGGCACTAACTCCTAATTCTGTCCCCCCAGCCCCTGGCAACCACCATTCCACTTTCTGTTTCTGTCAACGTGACCACTCTAGAGACCTCGTGTCTGTGGAATCACACGCTATTTGTCCCTCTGTGTCTGGTGCGTTTCACTCAACACAACACCCACCAGCATTTCCTTCCTGTTCAGGCTCAATAGCATTCCTCGTGGCCACTGTATAGACAGGGAGACTGGAGCTCAGGGAGAGGACTGATGTGCCAACTTCACATGCCTGTGAGTGACGCCAGATCTCCTCTGGGGGCCCTTCAGACGGGGCAGACCCCACCTGACAGCTGCCCCAGGGCCACACGGGGCCATTCGTCCCCTGCCTGCACTTAGCCCTCCAGAGCCAGCACTGCCTCCTAGCAGAGGTGTGGAATGGCTCCTGTGCCAGGGCCTCAGCTTCCCTGTCTGGAAGGGAGCAGAGAATCTCCTGGGTCCATGGACGGGTCCATGTTTTGTAAAAGACAGTCAAGGTACTAAGGGGCGTGTGATACCAGAACACAGAACTCCCAGAAACATAAGAGGGAGACAATCCAACAGGAGAAAAAAAGGCCAAATATATGAACAGACAACTCAAAGGGGAAAAAATGCAAGTGGAAATTAATGTACGAAGTAGGTTTTTTTTTAGGAAAGGTTTATTGATTTATATATATATATACATATTTTTAAATTGATTATGCCATTACCATTGTGCCATTTCCCCCCCTTCATTCCCCTCCACCCTGCACACCCCCTTCCACTCACATTCTCCCCTTTAGTTCATGTCCATAAGTTCTTTAGCTTCTACATTTGCTATAATGTTCTTGCCCTCCCCCTATTTTCTACCTACAGTCTATGCTACTTATTTTCTGTACCTTCTCCCCCTTCTCCTCCTCCCACTCCCCTGTTGCTATCCCTCCATGTGATCTCCATTTCTGTGGTTCTGTTCCTGTTCTAGTTGTCTGCCTAATTTGCTTTTGTTTTAGGTGTATGTTTGCTGTCTTTTTACTTTTCATACTT